CATCATCAGTGGCTTCTAACAATTTATCTATACTGAAAACCAATGAAACTTTTAAGTATTCTAACATATGTACCTTAAAACATCTGCTTTGCAGGGCTAGTTACTTTTATTCCCTATATTTAATAAAAATAGGAAAATGTGTGGTACAAACAGAGACTTTGTGTATAATTTTCCATGATCTCAGATGACAAAACGTAGCACAAGCTTCATCTCTTGCTAATTAAACGAATCAATTAAGGGACTATTGTTGCAACTGTGTAACTGCTGTTCTATAGTGCCAATAACAACCCCACAGGGAGGTCTTTTACTACATTAAAATGCTGTCCTCCACAACTCCATCTGATATTATTAGAAACAGTTATTTGCGTCTTGCTGTCATATTAGTAGCAGCAGCAAATTATGGAAATATGCAGACCAGAATGGTCCCAGTATGAGTTCAGGTTTGGTTTCCAGCCTCCAAGGGAACAAATGCTGAAAATTCCAAAGTTCCCCAAAGTTCATTAATGGAACTGATAAATTTACCAGCACAGCAGCTATTTACATGCTAGGTAAGGGTCACATATTTGCATATTTTCCTGCTAAGATGATACAATTCAACTAGATAAATTATCATATTAAGTTTGCCCTCCTGAGTTAAACTGATGGAGTTCAAAATTGTTTCCAATGGTTGTCATTAATCGCTGTTACATCTGAAATGCTTCCTTTGAAATCTAATTGTGATGTGGTGTCAAGGATCATATTAATAGCATTCAAGATGTTAAAATATTGTAAAAACCTGGTTATTTTACTTGTATATTGAAGCGCTATAGAGTAATGAGAAATAAAATTCATCTTTTTATTTTTTAAAAAAATCTTGTCAATAAAAAGAAAATTTAATTTAAAATATGAGATTTAAATTACGTTTAACCTCATTTGATTTTGTATCACTGAGATTCATAGTAGAACTGTATAAAAATAAAAGGGAATCCATCAGTTACATTCCAAATATGCATTTATTTCACCATCCCCAACAACAGAACTTGAAATTCAAATATACTCTTAAACATAATATTACATATATATTAAGTAATAATATACATAATCGAATCATGTATATATTCAACATGCACACAACCAGCCAATCCGTCTTATTATTTATATGACATACAAGTAAATGTGACAAAACCTGATTATCACTTCTAGATTAACTGGATGCAGAATACAGGAGCAAAAAGCAACCAGACATTTCCCTGTTTTCTTCCTGAAATTCTTCCAAACTATTTATTCTCAGCCTGTTTTCAGAGGCAATCTATAAAAAGCGTTCTACCTCTTTTGAAGAAAATTTCAGAGAAAAAGTGGCAAATGAGAAAATGAGAACATCAGGAATTCACAACTGAAGGTTGTAGCTCCCTAGCTGAAACCAGAATTTTAAGTATTGGTAAGCTGATGAATTCATTTTTCCATCTGCTTCTTGTTCCTGGCAAAGACATAACAGTTCTATGAACAAGCAACTATCTCATATTCTTTAAATTATTATATATGTTACAGACTGTTGTTTTGAAACATACTAGCTAAGTTCATCTAAATTTATCTGCTATTTTAATAATGCTTAACATTTGATAACATTTGATATATACTGAGCCAGTGATTTGCAAGTACATGTTATTGCCAATGATGATATAGTTATTGGTGGATAGAACGATATACAGTGTGTTGGCAGAGAGTGCTGTTTTGTCAGAAGCAACGGCTTTAGATCTATGTTTGTGGGGTATGTTGAGATTTAGTGCTTTCAATATCCATAATGGATAAAATGTTAAGGAGATTACAAGTTTTCTTAGGAGGTTATGGTAAGTGACATAAGTTTTGAGGACAGTCCATGAAAACTGATACTCCAATTGTTACAATGATTAAGACAAAGAAACAGCCCAGTTTAGGAATTTCTGAGAAAGTATAGAAGAGATCAACCCTGACTGCTCCTTAGAAGGCCAGATCCTGAAGATGAACCTCAAATACTTTGGCCACCTAATGAGAAGGAAGGACTCACTGGAGAAGAGCCTAATGCTGGGAAAGATTAAGGGGAAAAGAAGAAGGGGACAACAGAGAACGAGGTGGCTTGATGGAGTCATTGAAGCAGTCGGCGTGAGTTTAAATGGACTCGAGGATGGTAGGGGACAGGAAGGCCTGGAGGAACATTGTCCATGGGGTTGCGATGGGTCAGACACGACTTCGCAACTAACAACAAGCCTAGCCTTAGGACTAGCACTGCTGGTGTTAGTTTGGGTAATGAAACATGTGCAAGAAAACAACCAAGTCATAGAGCACCAAGGACCCCTCAGCTAAAATATTCTCCTTTGTTGGCAACATCATCTTTGGCTGTAGTCAGTACAATAGGTAAATTGTAGAGGATTCTTCATCATCTTTAGAAATGATGTCATAGTTTTTCATTTAATTTAGAATTATGTCTGTATGTGGGCCAGTTCTTTAGTGGGTATCCACCCCATCCAGTGGAGGAGGAGGAGGAGGAGGAGGAGGAGGAGGAGGAGGAGGAGGAGGAGGAGGAGGAGGAGGAGGAGGAGGAGGAGGAGGAGGAGGGTATTATTATGCATGACAATCTGTTCTTGCAGATATTAGCAAAATTGTATGTTATTGGACTTAAAAGTCTTGAAATTTGTTCTGTCACATCTTTGATCCTTGTTTCTGGCAGACAGCCACTTCGCAAGCTGACATGGCTAGACAGCATACATTTGTCTGAATTTCTCATAGTAGTGAGTCACCAATTATCACGACTCTATTCTTTCTCTTCTTAGAGGGCAAAGATGCATCCTGTCTTCTCTTGAAGGGTCTATTACTGTTTTGTTTCTGTTCTGCAGTGTCTCTTTTCTTTCCTTGAATGATCACAGCCCATTTTATCTACAAGGCCTCAAATCTATTTATTATTTCTAGCAGAATCTTATATGTCTCTTGCTTTTGATTGTTGATCTTATTCCTGTATTTGTCTTCCTCATGAAAAGTTGCTTCCACTGCTAGTTTCTGTAGTTTCTGTCCTGTCTTTGAGCTGATAAAATGTCTTTTCTCATCATCTGAAATGTGGCCATACACTACTCCAATTCTTTCACTTTTTCTTTAAGGACAGCTATGAGGTTTGCATTTGGTATAAGTATATGCTGTTGTTTTCAATCACAAAGACAAACTTACTGCATAGCTATGTACTGAAGGTACAGGTGCATATCTGTTCTTCACTTTTTCTTCTCAGAGACTACCAGTAGAAAAGGGTTTTATTTCTTCTTGTTCCTTTCTCAGTTCTCAGGATCCTTTAAACTCTCTAACCCTTTAAAACCTGCCTTCCTTATATAAGCCTAACAACTCTGAATACTCAGCAGAAAGCAGTTAGACAACCACCCAAAACTATTTCAATCTGGAGCTATTTAGAATATTATCCTTTCATCCCATGCACTTTGATAAATAATTCCTCAAAATACACAGCTTGTCATTTTTTTCCCTTCCTGTTTACTCTTCTACTTTCAATTGATCTTATGTTTTTGTTCTTAGTATCATTTGCTTTCTGAGTTTCAATTTTTCCTGATACTATTGTAACAAATTGGTACTACCTAGAAATGTTTGTGATGGTTCTTTTTATCATCTGCTGTGATCCATTTTGCAGTTTTCACTATTAGTTTGTTGTATCAAAAAATCCTATTTAACACTTTTCTGGGTTTAAAGCTTTATTATAATCCAAGATGAGCATCTGACTAAACTCAGATTTAATTTTTGTTATTATTTAGATTCTAGCTTTATGTAGCAACTTTTTTCTAGATTTCCCACTTTTACTTTTCCCATGACAATGGCAAATAGAAAATCATTTCATATATATCACACACACAGAGGGAGGGAGGGAAAGAATAAAGGCATGCAGAAAAAAGTTGATTGTTTGATTGTGATTCTGTTGGAAAATAGGAATGTGCTTCTTCTCAGCTGAGAATTCAAGCCAGACAAAGGGCAGTCGAAATTCAGAATAATGAAAGGGACACTGGAGGTTCTAATCCAATCCTTTTCTTCTGTCCCCAGTCCTCACACAGACAAATGCAATATCAAACACACCTGCCAATAATTTATTGTATAAACAGACCAGAATTCCTGGCAGACGAGAGTTCTGGCAGCTAACTGTAAAACGCCTGCCAAGTCCAATTAGTACTCCCAAAAAGCAGGAAAGTCCTTATCTGCAGTCCGTTTCCAAAGCAACAAATTATCCACAAGAGTTTAGTCCAAAAGATATCTGAGCCGAAGTGCAGGATTCACGATGTGACTCTTTAGAGTTTAAACTTTTGTCCGTCCCAAAGCCTGCCGAGCAATCACGCCCCCTTTTATCCCTTGTGGGGCGTGGCTCAGTGACTCAGCTCAATCCCTGGTCCTCCCACACCTCTTCCTTTGCTGCGCATGCTTCTCCCTCCGATGCTGCCTGGGATCAAGCCAGGATTCATCATTATCACTCTCTATCAATGGGTGCTCCGAAATGCCTTCCTCCTGGCCTTCAGATGGAACCTGAGGCATTGCCAGAGAGGAGGGTCCTGGAAAGGGAGGCCTTGTCAGTTCCTCTCCCTCACCTTCTGAGTCCTCTTCCTCCATGAGGACAGGCTCGGGAGTCGAAGTCACAACACCTTTACTCAAGCAGGAGAACCTATACCATTTCAAACAATTGGCTTTCCAATCTCTTCTTCAAAACCTCCAGTGATAGAGTTTTTAAAGTTATCCAGTGATAACTTCTGGAGGCAAGCTGTTCCACTGATTAATTGTCCTAGCTGTCAGGAAATTTCTTCTTATTTCTAAACAATAAATGCTCAAAATATGGAGGGAAAGTTTTTCTTCCTTTTAATCAAAATACAAGTATTCATACATAACTAAATAATACAGAAATGTGAAATGAACACCGTATGTTAAATGTGTATAAAATGTGAAATGAAAACTGTACGTTAATTTTTTTATAAAATGTCTATGAATACCTAGTAAAGTTTAACATTACTCACCACTGTTCCAAGAAACTGAATGCTAAGATTTCCACCAGCATCTCGAGAAAGGCACTGGAAGGAACAGAATAACAATTAGAGTGTAGTCTTATCAACAAGAAATTTTCTCCCTAAGAATTCTGACAAATTGCTTATGAAACCGGAGATATTATACACATGTCACTTTCAATGAAACTCATGGTTAAAGCAGAAATGCATGTGATACAAGAAAATAAGAGTTATATTAATGTTTGATAGTATTTAGTTTTCACAGCTGAATGGAATGGGCACTGGATTCAGTACCTTTCAAAAATAATCTCTATAATCTAATTTCTATAATCAGTCAAACAATCAGAATTGACTATAATCAATTCTCTTTCTATCATTCACTGATCAAATAAGATAGAAATCTTAAATGTCCATATATATTGTCAGAGACTCCTACTAAATTTTTTTCTGTTTGTCTTGCATTTTTGTAAATCTTGTCTATTTGTCTTGTTTCCACTTACACAGAGCTCGGCAACAAATTTATTTGAGCTCAATACAGTGGGTTAATTTTTGGCCTATGCGATAGATCTTAATCTCCATTCAACCATAAAATGTACTTAATGATTTGGGACACTGTATGAGAAGAGCCATGTTATTCTATGGTGATAAAAAAAATCAGAAGGCATCTGGTAGCATCTTTTCCAACTCCCAAATTTAATTAAAAGGCATATGTTTTGGAGAGCTGCAGCTTGCCTCAGCAGATGCACAGATTTGGGGTAAGTGACCGTTAGGCCACTTCTACCATTTTTATCCCCAAGACTCTCACAAGCCATTTGATAGTGATTCAGTACTGTCTTTGCTTATGTTTGTGTGAAATGCTACAACTCTTACAGGATCAAATGCTGCTTCAAGTCCAATAGATACACGTAGCTCAGGGTTGAACTGTAGCATCCTTGGAGCTCTCTGAGCTTGGATTTTTGTTTGCAGACATTTCATTACTCAACTAAGTAACATCATCAGTGTAAGTAAGTGTGGGGTTTGCATAACTTCTCCTGCCAATATTAATGTGGGAGTGTGTTTTCTCCTCAGTAGTTCCTTGATTAGGATATTGTTTTCTGATTAATTGCTTGCTAATCTAGGTATTGGCTGCTGGACATTGTTCTGGTCTTTCTTTCCTTCTTAGTTTTTTTATTGTCTCATTTGAGTAGCATCTAAATGTGGTTTATCTCTATGTGTCTTGATTGCTGATTTGTCTGAATGCCAAGCTTCTAAGAATTCCTTAGCATTTTTTATTTGATATTAGCAGTTATGAGGTTTCGTTTGTCCATATGTTGTGAGATTAAAGAGTTTTCATCATATCTTCTGACTGCTAGTTGATGTTCATGGAAGCACTCTGCTAGTCTTCTGCCTGTCTGTTGTATATAGTAGCTGTTACCATCTTTACATTATACGTTGTAGATGAATCCTGTTTTTTTTCTTCTTGGACTAAGGAGTCTTATAGATCAGGGGTCTCCAACCTTGGCAACCTTTACGACTTGTAGACTTCAACTCCCAGTATTCCTCAGCTAACATGCACTGGCTGAGGAATTCTGGGAGTTGAAGTCCACAAATCATAAAATTGCCACGGATGGAGACCCCTGTTATAGAGGACTCCTTAGTCTTGGGCTAAGTAGCCTTATAAATGACTTCTGTTTTTCTTTTCATGCTTAAGAAGAGTAATTTACAACATACAATGACAAAGAATCAGGTAGAAAACAATACCCTAATGAAAGAACTACCAAGGAGAAGATTAAAATTGGGAAACCAAATTAAAATCAGGAAACCATGAGTTCTAGTTCTGCCTTAGGCACAAAAGCCAGGTGGGCACCTTGGGCCACCACCTTTTCTCAGCCCTAGGAAGAAGGCAAAGGCAAACCACTTCCACAAATCTTCTAAGAAAACTATAAGGTCTTGTTCAAGCACTTGCCAAGAATCAACTGCCACCAACTTGAAGGCACAACAAATAAACAAACAATCAAACAAATCAGGTTTACCCTTCGTCTTTGCTTAGTTTGGTCAAAATGTCTATTTTACATTCAGTGGAATAAGGGATACAGAAGGAATAGCAGGATAATATAGGTATTTAATAAGAACACACACACACTCATAGAGATACATATACTATATATTTTAAGATAGCTTTGTCATATTACCTAATTTTTAAAAGCTTCATGAAAGGAATAATTATTGGAAGGATTTCCCTTCGAAACAATTATGGCTGCATTTTAAATAAAAACAGCAATATTGCCTTTTCTTTTTTCTTTCCCTTCAATTAATACATCATGTTTTAACCCTCCAGTCTGTTCGTAGGAAAACAAAGCAGAATGAAACAAGTCTGGACATATTTCAACAAAAATGATTAACAAAATGGAAAATATGGGAAAAATCATACAAAAAACCTGACATTTACATTTGTAAAGGAAACAGGAATATACAGTTTTCCCAACTGCTGGAGGAAACACAATCACACTTCGGAAACTGTAAAGAAGAACAAAGTACCAGGGCCTACAATGAAGAATTTATGTGCCAAAACAAATAGATACAAATTAATCAGGAGGTTGTCAAAACTAGTTAAGTGAAGAATATTCTTTAATTTTTTAAAAAAATTGAGCGCTCTTCATCTTTATATCTTTAATATTGGAGAACAACAAATTTCATTATCTGGGGAAAAAATCCAGTACATGAATGGTTGAGATGGGAACAAAGGTGAAAGGCAGGTGTTTTATTTATCAATATGTAAGAAAAAAGGACAGAACCTGAATATTGTATGTAAGTACTGTAGTGTGATATTTTCTGACTCAGATTCCATCAAGGTGTGTGTATGAGGGTCCAGATTCCAAACTTTTTAATCTAAAAGGATGAATCTTACCTATTTTTAATTAAGACCAATCTTTATTATTTTTACTCAGAAGAAATAGTATACATGATATAGTGTGACATAGATTTCAAAACGCAACTGAATGTAAATGTTTTTTCTTTGAAAACATAATGTATCTGGTCCTTTTATTTTAAAGGTAAATAAATTATAAAAAATATTTATTTATTAAATATACTTTATGCCCTCATAATAGTAAACTTTCATAGGAAAAAGTACAATATACATATCCAATACAAAAACTAAAAACTCACAGCAATACAATCTATATGCTACTAAACTTTTATGACTGCAACCGTTAACCAGCTGAAACGCTACATTATTTTGGAACAAAGGTACCTCAAACTGGCTAATTTATAAAATACCTCAAAAATCTGGGATCCATGACTCCAATGGAATAGAAATTTGGCAAATTTTATGACATAAAAATTATCATAAAGCATTTTATAATATAATACAAAATGTCATAAAACATTTATTGTGGTCAACTGATGATCTTTGCCTGTGATATACACTTCAGCACAGACTACTTTCAAGGCAGAATATCTCCCTGAATTTTTAGAAGTGTGTTAGAAGCTCTGAAATTATTGAAGGCATTGCAGAATTTGGTAAGGAAGCATCTCTGAAACAATGAGCCAACGTATCATGGGTTGTCTAGTGATACCACTCAATAAAAAATAAATGATGGGAATATCAAATCAAACTGGGAAAAGGCTCTCTGAAATAGCTCAGTCTACTAGGGCTTTTGGAAGGAGATACTCTGCTCCCCACAAGAAGGTTGTTCCGTAGTATTGGTGTTACCATAAAACACAGCACCTTCTTGCCTCAGCCCCCTCAGTTTTAGCTAACTGAAAGATGCCAAGCCCTGAAGGACTTCATAGATCAAAACCCACACCTTAAATTGGAACCAGAAACCAATTGGTAACAAATACAGGGACAGCAAAATCATACTTATGTGCTCCCTAAGGCAGGAGCCCAAAAGGATACAGGCCGCTGATTTTGGAACAAATATTATTTAAGGGCAGCCCCAAGTATAGCTCATTACAGTCAGTCTAGCCAGGTGGTGGTAAGGGCATGAGTTACTGTTACCAAGTGCTCCTGGCCCAGGTAAAGCTTCAACTGGCATACCAATTAGAGTTTGGCCACGGTTTCCATCCACTGCTCCTGCAGAAGTCATTAATTCCAGAAGTTCCTAACTTACAAACCTGCTCCCTGATAGTTAATGCTTGCCTATCAAGAAGTTAACAACAATCCAAGCTACCAAAAGCAATTCCAACTTCTAAGGGTTCTAACTTCCATCCCCTCCCATCCAGATTCCGACAGCTTACATGAACAACCTTTGTCAATGTCATATCCCCCATGGCTCAAAGTAATGATATATAAGTGGGTATAATCAGCAGATTTATGATACTACTCCCCAAACTATTCCATGATCCCTCCCTATGGCTTCAGATAGATGTTAAAAAGCAGGGAGACAAGACCAAGCTCCCCAACACTCCATAGGTCAGGGGCCACTAAGACAACCTCTCCTGCTTTAGCAAACCAGATAGACAATGTTATTTATTATTTATTAAATGTTTGCCACCCATCTCGCTGCAACACAATATGCTACATGATTTTTCACTAAGAAGCAAATTTGGGTTTAATTTCCAATATAGAGTGTATGAAATCAATAAGTTCAATGGTCTTACAGTAAATATAAAAACATATAAATGTTTAGATTTAAATAATTTTTCCAGCCAGTCTCCATTTATGTGAAGTTACTCAATATTTTTGGGAAGAATATTCTGAAAGTGTCTTACACCTTCTCAATGGATTTTTGAAAGTGCATTTTCTAGAACTTCAGAAAAGCATCCTTTTCCACAAGTTTCATATCACACCAAATGTTTTAAAAAGTGCCAGCACTCATTGTGTTGTAACTGTTATCTTGTTCATTGTGCAGGTTGTTAGAACATAGAACAACTAAACATTAAGACAAAAATGAGATAAGGCAGTTATTACTTTACTTTAGACACTGACGCAAAGAGAGAGAGAAACAGATTGTGAATTATCATATTCAGTTCTGCAGTTACACCATCTTAGAACTTTTATCCAAGTGGGCAGTATTTGTCGAACAGCTAAAAAGCATATTTGGATGTTAAATAATTATTCCATTGAGCAGGTTAAATCATTTAAATCCCCAGGTATAGTCTTTTCATGTGAAATGCCCAGGGAATATGTAGCACAAAAGCCCAGAGAGCTGCTGTAGCACTGCAATCATCCTAAACTAAAGGGGCCTTATTTATCTCTGCTGCACGCCAACCATACTTAGCCAAAGTTAGAGCAGAGCTGTTATTCAGAGTCCAGTTTGCCTATATAGCTTTTTCTTGTTCAGACAAAATCTCTTACTCCACGTACTCCAAGCTCTTACTTACATACTCCAAGCTTCTTGCTGTGTCTCAAACATGATACTTCACTGTGAAGTAGAATTCTGACCAATATTTGGTTGCACATTTTTATATGCGGAGCTACTATATATCTTAACCCTGTATGACTGACACCTCAAATCCTTAATGATAATGTTGTTTTATTCTGATCTAAAGCAATAGATTAAAAATTGGAGATCCTCTGATATTCTTTAATTCAGCTCTGTGCAGTTGAACATGAGCACTACTCAAGCAGCTTTAAAGCAATGGCTTAAAGATATTCAATTGGATTTCTTCTTCTCAAGAATACATTTCCAACTAGCTCCTTCACTCTATATGGACCTGCCATATGTCTAGGCAATCTCAAACCCTAAATATACAGTTGGGAGGACATTCTCCTTGGCCCGATTCAAAGCGAGAAGAAGTATGGTACTTGGGTAAAACTACCCATATTTAACTACTCTATATCTTAACTCACAAAAAGAAAAAAAAACAGCATTAAAATGGAGATGATTAAAACTTAAAAAAAAATTAAAATTTTACTTTTATGCTTTCATTTAGGAAGAAAGAGCGCTACTCGTTTTTCCTTGTTTTATTCATGGCCATTTGATGAAGTGAGCTGCAGCTCACAAAACATACACTTTTTTAAAAAAAAATTATTAGAAGCACCTTCTGAGTCTCTGTCACAATAGACCAACGCAGCTTTCCTCCTACAATGCCTAATCACATATGTACATTTGTTTAAAACCTTTCCTGTTGTTAAGTACTCACACCTCAAGAAATCTTGCAAATCATTGTTTCTTGCATTGTCTCTGATTGCCTTGACTGGCAAAATCTCATCAGAATGTTTCTTTTGCCACTGTTTCTTAGATTTCCTAAAGTTTATCTTTGTACAAGAAATGTATAAAAAGCTCTATCAGTGTACAGGAGAGTGGATAAAGGTAACAAGATAAAGAGAGATTTACTTATGCTACACTTTCTCCAATTCTGAATTTTAAAATAAATTATTAATTTCATCTTGTTTCAATACTGGACATTGTATTGGGACAGCCTTGATCACGTTTGTTGATGATCCGTGATAAATCCAGGATGGGGAAGTACATCTGTCATTGAACTACTTGATTTCTTGGTAACCTTCAATACCACTGATTGTGGCAGCATGTTGGATATCCTCCTGAAGCATGTCAGGGAATTATGAGCCGGGTTTACAGTAGTTTTGCCCCTTCCTTCAGAGAAATTTTCAGCTGGTGTTCATGGAAGTAAAGATCTAAATCTAAGTGTAAGCTCTGTAGAGGACCTCAGGATTTGACTCGCTCCTCATTCTTATTTAATATCTACATGAAGCCATTTTCATGAAGTCATCCATCAGAATGTGGTTAACGTACATTAATGATACCAGTTACATACTTCAATTTTAGACAAACTAAGCAATGTCACTGAAGTTTAATCTCTAGAGACTAAGAGACTCTGGAGGAAAAGTAACAGGCTAAGGCTCAACCTCTAGCAAGACTGAGGCCCCATTCATGGTTACTCATGCATTAGCCATCTCATATGTGAACTATTACAATGTGCTCTACATCGAGTTGCTCTTTAAGATGACTCAATTGTTATAACTACAAGTTGTCCTTGAATGGTCATTTAATGACCATTTGAAGGTATGAAGGCTTTGGAAAGGGTGCTTTACAGCTTTGTATTCTTTCATTGCCTGGTACAAATTAAGCATGTGCAGTTATAATTCCCAGATTTAAAATGGTGTAGAAATTTTAAAAAGCAATAGCAACAAAATATTTTACCTGGACAGTTCTATGAACATCATCCACTTGAAGAGATAACACAGCTGAAGCCAAATTCCATTCACCGGTCACACAAAGTTTTCTTCCATTGACTTCCACCTGTTGTGACATAAGGATATTATTACCATAAACCCAGACAAGAAGCAAAACTCAAGTTCACCACTGTATACAAAAGAGGAAGCACCACAGTTTCTGCCACAAAAGGTAGGGTTTGTCAACAATCTTTTTAGCACTGCTGAGTAAAAGTGAAACACATTTACAGAAGCTACCTGTGGAAAGTGTTAAATAATTTGTACAAAATGTTATGGAATTGGACTCCTCAGAGTCAGAGTCAGAGACTGAACCTTAGCAACCTAATTCAGCAGGCCACCAGCCTCATGAGTTAGCAGAAAATTGCCACTTGGGATGGACTCAGCATGTACAGGAGTCAGGCAATTACGGATCTACCAGAGCACCTAGTTCCAGGATGTGTCGACAGCTTCAGAGAGCCAAGCAAAAGCACTCTGCTCATTTATTTATTTATTTTATTTTATTAAAATTTACATGCCGCCCTTCTCCCGAAGGACTTGGGGCGGCTCACAAGTATAAAATGACAATAAAAACAATATCACTAAATAGCATTAAAAGTCCAATTTAAAATCCCACAGTTAACTAAAAAACCCAACCAGATCAGGTGATTTGAGTAAAAAGCCAGGTCTTAAGATCTTTGCGGAAGGAACAGAGATCAGGAGCTGTCCGGAGCTCAGTGGGTAATTCATTCCAGAGGGTCGGCGCGGCCACCGAGAACGCCCTCAATCTGGGGGCCACCAGCCGACATTGTCTGGCCGAAGGCATCCAGAGGAGGGCAGCCCTATGTGACCACACTGGGCGGTGGGAGGCTGGTAGGAGGTGGTCCCACAAATACCCCGTGCCCGTGCCATGTAGGCTTTATAGGCGAGAGCCAGCACCTTGAAGCGGATCCGAAAGGCCACCGGCAGCCAGTGCAGCTTGCGCAGGAGAGGTGTTACCCGGGAGTAACGAGAAGCTCCCGTAACAATCCGCGCGGCCGCATTCTGGACCAGCTGGAGCCTCTGAATGCACCCCAAGGGCAGCCCCGTGTAGAGGGCATTACAGTAATCCAAACGAGAGATAATGAGAGCTTGAGTGACTGTACAGAGGGCATCCCTGTCTAGGAAAGGGCGCAACTGGCGCACCAGGCAAACCTGTGCAAAAGCCCCCCTTGTCACAGCCATCAGATGATCTACCAAGGACAGTCGGGAATCAAGGAGGACGCCAAGATTGCGAACCCTTTCAGAGGGAGTCAGCAACTCCCCTCCCATCTGCAGAGATGGGGATACTAGATCAGGGGATGCCGACATCCACAGCCACTCAGTCTTGGAGGGGTTGAGTCTGAGCCTGTTCTGACCCATCCAGAGCCGTACTGCCTCCAGGCACTGGGACATCATGGAAAGGGCATCCCTGGATTGGTTCAGGGTGGAGATGTAAAGCTGAGTATCATCAGTGTACTGATGATATCCCACCCCGAAACTCCGAATGATCTCACCCAGCGGCTTCATATACAGTTGCAAGAAAAAGTATGTGAACCCCTTGGGATTACGTGGAGTTTTGCATGAATTGGTCATAAAATGTGCTCTGAACTTCATCTAAGTCATAACAATAGAAAAACACAGTCTGCTTAAAATAATACTACACAAACATTAGATGTTGCCATGGTTTAATTGAACATAACATGTAAACATTCACAGTGCAGGGAAGAAAAAGTATGTGGGCCCCTAGCCTAATGACTTCTCCAAGAGCTAATTGGAGCCAGGAGTGAGACAACCTTGACTCCAATCAGTGTGATGATATTGGATGTGTTGCTGACAGCTGTCCTGCCCTTTAAAAACACACACCTGTTTTGGGGTTACTGGTTTCAAGAAGCACTGTCTGATGTGAACCATGCCTCGCAGAAAAGAGCTCTCAGAAGACCTACGATCAAGAATTGTTGACTTGCATGAAGCTGGAAAGGGTTACAAAAGTATCTCCAAAAGCCTTGATGTTCATGTATCTACGGTAAGACAGACTGTCTACAAATGGAGAAAGTTTAGCACTGTTGCTACTCTCCCTAGGCGTGGTCGTCCTGTAAAAATGACTGCAAGAGCACAGTGCAGAATGCTTCATGAGGTAAAGAAGAATCCTAGAGTGTCAGCTAAAGATCTACAGAAATCTCTGGTACATGCTAACATTTTTGTTGACACATCTACAATAAGGAAAACATTAAACAAGAATGGAGTACATGGGAGGACACCTCGGAGGAAGCCATTGCTGTCCAAAAAAAATACTGCAGCACGTTTGAAGTTTGCAAAAGAGCACCTGGATGTTCCACAGCACTACTGGCAAAATATACTGTGGACAGATGAAACCAAAATTGAGTTGTTTGGGAAGAACACACAACACTATTTGTGGAGAAAAAAAGGCACAGCACACCAACATCAAAACCTCATCCCCACTGTAAAACATGGCGGAGGGAGCCTCATGCTTTGGGGCTGCTTTGCTGTCTCAGGGCCTGGACGGATTGTTGTCATTGATGGGAAAATGAATTCCAGAGTTTATCAAGACATTTTGCAGGAAAACGTACGACCATCTGTCCGCCAACTGAAGCTCCGCAGAGGATGGGTGATGCAACAGGACAATGACCCAAAGCATACAAGTAATTCAACAAAAAAATGGCTTCAACAGCACAGAATACGCCTTCTGGAGTGGCCCAGTCAGAGTCCTGACCTTAACCCAATTGAAATGCTGTGGCATGACCTTAAGAGAGCAATTCACACCAGACATCCCAAGACTATTGCTACACTGAAACAGTTTTGTGAAGAGGAGTGGTCCAAAATTACTCCAGATCGTTGTGCAGGTCTGATCTGCAACTACAGGAAACATTTAGTTGAGGTTATTGCTGCCAAAGGAGGGTCAACCAGTTATTAAGTCCAAAGGTTCACATACTTTTTCCTCCCTGCACTGTGAATGTTTACATGTTATGTTCAATTAAACCATGGCAACATCTAATGTTTGTGTAGTATTATTTTAAGCAGACTGTGTTTTTCTATTGTTGTGTTTTTCTATTGTGTAGATGAAGTTTAGAGCACATTTTATGACCAATTCATGCAAAACTCCACGTAATCCCAAGGGGTTCACATACTTTTCTTGCAACTGTAGATGTTAAAGGGCAGGGGGGGAGAGAACTGACCCCTGCGGCACCCCACAAGTGAGGGGCCTCAGGGAGGATCTCTGCCCCCCCCACCCAAACAAACTGCGTACGGCCCGAGAGGTAGGAGGAGAACCACTGTAAGACAGTGCCTCCCACCCCCAACTCCCGAAACCAACGCAGTAGAATACCATGGTCGATGGTATCAAAAACCGCTGAGAGGTCAAGTAGCACCAGGATGGAGGAATAACCAACATCCCGGCCTGCCAGAGATCATTCACCAGGGCAACCAATGCCGTTTCCGTGCTATGTCCATGCCTGAAACCCGACTGGTACAGGTCCAGGTAAACCAGGAATTGTGGAAGCTGATAGGCCACCACAGACTCAACAACTTTCGCTATAAAGCGAAGGCTGGAGACGGGATGAAAGTTGTTCAGGGAGGCTGGATCCAGGACAGGCTTCTTGAGGAGGGGATGAACCACCACCTCCTTAAGTACGGCGGAGAAGGCCCATCCCTCAAAGAAGCGTTGATAATCGCCTGGATCCAGTCTCTGGTCACCTCCCTGGTTGCCGCAACAAGCCAGGAGGGACATGGGTCCAATAAACATGTGGACATGTGCTCATGTCCTGTCCTCATTCTTATCTAATATCTTCATAAAGCCATTTGCATCAAGTCATCCATCAGAATGTGGTTAGGTATTATACCTAACAAAGCAGTGGTGAAATCCAATTTTTTTTACTGTGGGCGTGGCTTGGTGGCGTGGTGTGGCTTGGTGGGCGTGACAGGAAGGATACTGCAAAATCTCCATTCCCACTCCACTCCAGAGAAAGGATACTGCAAAATTCCCATTCTATCCCCACTCCTGGGGGAAGGATATTGCAAAATCTCCATTCCCACTCCACTCTGGGGCCAGCCAGAGGTGGTATCTGCCACTTCTCCGAACTACTCAAAATTTCCGCTACCAGTTCTCCGAACTGCTCAAAATTTCTGCTACCAGTTCTCCAGAAACTGTCAGAACTTGCTGGATTTCACCCCTGTAACAAAGATTCCAACCCCCAAAACTCAGCCATATCTCTACCTGTTCTACTTAAAAGCAGCTGGCAGTGGTCTATCCTTCATTGAAAACCACATGCCAATCTAAAATCTCCATTTCTATGCGTTTCCTTCCTGCTGTTCCTTGACTCTTGGTGTTTAAATTTGGACCAGTTGAGTAACCCAGGTATTCAACTCTTGGATTGTTGTGGATTATTTTGTTTTGTTTTTAATGCATGATCCATTTGATTCTGGGCTAAAATCTTTTAACCATTCAGTTCCCAGGAAAGGCTTCATTCTCCCATGGTTTAGATAAATTACCCTATTATTTAGAAAAAAATATGCATTTTTCTACTTAAAACATTAATTATTGATCTTAAAAGCTGCAAAAGCAAGTAAGTTGTTCGTATGACGTAGTTTAAAAACAAAATAACAAAAAGTCTGTAGAATTTGCAAAAATAAGCACAGGAAGCAACTGGCAAGCTACTGTATTGTAGTTCTTGGAAACTGTCTGCTACTGAGGTGGGTACATGTTGTAGAATATTTATTAACCAACCATGATATGAGACCATCTACTAGGATGGCAAGGGAACCAGTTCAGGAGAAGAAATTGCCAAGTGAGAGAAAATAGGAAGCCAATCAGATGAAGACAGAATCAGCAGCCTGAATACATCCATTGAAAACACTCCATAACAAATGAGCAGGATATGTATTAGGTCATTCCAGAAGTTAGACTGAGCAAATAAGAATGCAAATACTGGAAATCTATTTGTATAATAATATAGTTGATATAGTTTTATTAAATAGAAATAATAAATAAACTGCATTTAACTGCATTCAATATATCATAAACACCTACTTTTGTACATTTCTGACTGGCACTCA